TTGTATTGTTTAATTATTTATCTTAAAAATGTTAGATTATTCATAGTAAATGTTTTAATTCCGGTACTTTTTCCATAAACCGAGATATCAACTTCTACCAAATGGTTGACTTTTAAGAAATTATGGGAAAATATATATTTTTGTGGGGCAGTTAAAGGGTTAAAAAAACATTTAAAGTCATCTCTCTTTAGTGTAATTTGCTTTCAAAGTATTTTTACAGTTCAGTTTTATAAATATTATATTGACAATTGCGTTCCTTTTGCAGTGCACTTTGTAAACATTTATGTCATTTTGAACGCAGCCATTGCTCATTACAAAGCTATAGATGACTATTATTTAAAAAGAAGTTACGTTAATAATTTGGATTTTACGTTAGATCTCCAAAGCTTGTGAAAACAAAAATATATAGCATAATATTTATTTTAAACATTTTAATTTTAGTTTTAATTTATAGTAGTTTATGTATTCAGAAATTTATCTGTTGCCTAGTGTACATTGTGCCTGTTGGTTAGAACATTTCTGCAGTGGATTGAATGGGTCAAATTGTTTAGGTAAAGAAAAAAATGTATTTGATTTAAAAAATAAAATATTTTTGAATGAATGAATAAATAAACAATACCATGCTTAATAATAATAATAATAATAATAATTATTATTATTATTATTATTATTATTATTCATTCATTTTCTTTTTTACTTTAATCCTTTATTATTCTGGGGTTGCCACAGTAGAATGAATCGCCAACTTATCCAGCATATGTTTTACGCAGCGAATGCCCTTCCAGCTTCAACCCAACACTGGGAAAATTATTATTATTATTATTATTATTATTATTATTATTATTATTATTATTATTATTATTATTATTATTATTATTAAGTAGCAATTTTTAATTTTTTCTGTAAATTACAAAAATATATTTTTTGATGATTTATATGAGATTAGAATACGTGTAAGAAAAAAAAAAAATTCAAAGGGGGACTAATAATTCTGACTTTTTAATTAATATGAAAAACGAGTGCATGAGTGTATTTTTTTTTTAAATGTGTGTGCGTGTAAAACAATATAATTTGCACATTTTTTTTTCTAAAGAAGTTGCTACTTCACCCCGTTTAGAGCACCATCGTGGACATTTGATGTTTTAACTAACGTGGTTCAAACAATGGATCTGCAACAGAGAAACTACGGGTTTTGGGAAACACTTTTCACTACTCTTTTCCCAAACGATGCATCGTACTATGACAGTTCAGCCACAAGTTGACATGTCTTTGTTTGGGAAACAGATTGACTTGGAAAATAATAGCCAAACATATCTCGGCTATTAATTATCTGTTTGAACAACACAATTGAATTTTTGCTCATGTTTTCTGTTAAAGTCATTGTGATTGTATTTATATATTACTGCAATGCTATAATGAATATCTTACATGGGCATATGTTTGTAAGTGGGACCTAAAAAAACTAAATCAGCAGAAAATGTAATGAAATATTTGCCCATGTGAAACAAAAACAAAACAAATACATTGCAGAATGCATTGTGTAGCAGCAGTGACTAAGTCAAAAGCTCAAACCATACGAACACAGAGGCTTAATAAAAGCTGACAGCTGTCACTCTGCCTCTGACATGTGTCAGGAGAGGACTACCTTTATATGGACATGGCCCTACACCGCTCTTTGAGAGTTTCTCTAGATAACACACTGCACAGGTTTACACACACACATACACACATAAAAACACCTATGGTACAGCGTAATCGTCCCTGTTTGTAGTTTATCTATACCACAGGAACGTGCACAGAAAATGCATACAGTTTGAATTAAATCTAAATTATTAGATATTATTGAGGTATTAGTTATAAGTTACTGAGGTATACAAGTAGACACACAAATAAACACATTTGAATAAAGAAAATGCAGCACTGAGGCAGTGTAGCAGATCTGCTGTTCTGCACTTTTTGATGCACATATCAAGAAATCATGCATGAGCTTTCAGTTAAGCTGTCAATATCTGCACACATGAAATATCTTTCCACACACAACATGTATATATGCCTAAACATAAATGTAATGTTATGCTGTGGGTCGGTGCAACAGTAGAACCGTGTGTGTGTGTATGTGTGTGTGTGTGTGTGAGGGAGGGAGACTCTAGGGAATGCATAGCTGCAGAGATCTCGGGCTCTGCTGGCCACAGACATGCTTTGAGGTGACAGTCATGCAGCTTCTGCCAGTATCTACCATACACTGAGATGGTTTGAAACAGAAAGAGCCATTTCATCTGAAAAGTCAGCAGTGGTGAACCCCCTCCAGGTAACTGCAATCCTGGTTACTCCGGCTGCAGGAACTCATGGACAGAGAGTGTCTTTATGGACATTCAGAGATCACATCCTGCAGCTGTGGAGGGTGGTACACTTGATTTCATTCTGGATTTCATTTATTTGGTTTTACATATTTTTCAGTTGCGTTTAAATAAATACATAGTCATATGCCTCAACAACAGTACTGAAAATCACGCACCCACATATACAGTTTAAGTCAGTATTATTAGCCCCCTTGTTTATATTTTTCCTCTGCTTCTGTTAAACGGAGAGAAGATTTTTTCAACACATTTCTAAACATCATAGTTTTAATAACTCATTAATAACTGATTAATTTTATCTTTGCCATGATGACAATAAATATTTGACTAGATATTTATTCAAGACATTATTATTCAGCTTAAAGTGACATTTAAAGGCTTAACTAGGTTAATTAGGTTAGCTGGGCAGGTTAGGGTAATTAGGCAAGTCTTTGTATAACAATGGTTTGCTTTTTATACAATCGGAAAAATATATATAGCTTAAAGGGGCTAATAATATTGACCTTAAAAATTTTTATAAACAAATTAAAAAGCTCATTTTATTCTAACCGAAATAAACCAAATAAGACTTTCTCCAGAGGAAAAAATATTGTCAAACATACTGTAAAAATTTCCTTGCTCTGTTCATCATTTGAAACATCATTTTAAAAAGCAAAAACAAAAAATAATACACGTGTTTATGTGTTTTCATGTTTTATGGAGCCTTTAAGTCTCACATTATATTTTGTGCCTTTCATCATTAAATACCTACAAGACAGAGGATTTAGTTTAATCTAGAAAATGCCTGCTAATGAGTTCGGGGTAGTTTGTAGGAGCATTGATAATAGTAAAAGTTATAGGGCGTAAAGTTTAAAGGTTATGGGGTAATGTTAGGGTTAAACTTAACTGTGCAACTATAAATGTTTATTAAATGTAAGCTAGTGCAATTACAATGTAATGACATGCTAGTACGTATAAAACTAGTGTTATTGTATCAATCGGTTGAGCCACTTAATATAAAGTGTAAGCAGACTGTTGCAGACAATTGCTTGTATACTGTAAAAGTTTATACATACTATCTTATATATATATATATATATATATATATATATATATATATATATATATATATATATATATATATATATATATATATTTATTTATTTATTTATTTATACAACAGTTCTGTCTGGTTCTTAAATCTGATTGGCTGAGAGCCGTGCGATATTCTGCAATATCAGAACTCCTACAGCCTCTTTACTCTTTGTATATTACTCCGCCCACATACAGCCAGCAAAATCAGACGCTACAGATCTAAAGTTTAAAAGATGCACGCTCTTCTGTTTAACTGTCAGCTTATGATTTGAATCTGGAAGAAAGTAGTTCCTCATACAAAAGGGTTTTTTGAGACTCCATGTTTGATTTTGTTTTTATATACACAATTACGCCGTCAAACTGTTGTATAAACGCAATATCACACTCGTAGCAGTGCGATATGGCTGTATATCGGCACTGGTGGGGGCACTAAGGCAAGCCTCCCCTCAGTGCTGATATACAGCCATATCGCACTGCTACGAGTGTGATATTGCTCATATATATATATATATATATATATATATATATATATATATATATATATATATATATATATATATATATATATATATATATATATATATATATGGGACAGTCTATGAGAAACATACATTTACACTTATAAAAAAAGTGACAGAACCTGACCTAAGCTTGTCATTCTCAAAAAATCATTTAAAAACAACCATGAATTCATACAATTTAATGATAGAACGCATCCTTGATTACTGCCAGATGTATGCCACTTCCTCTGAGTCATAGCCTTAATGGTGTATTGCACGCATTTTATAATAAATTTAATGCAAATGTAACAGGACTGACTGAAACATGGGGACAATTGTAAATTTATTTGTATTATATATTTGTAGTATTTATTTGTACAATTTATTTTTAATTTCTTGTTTTAATCAATTGATGTGAAAAGCAACTTAAACATGCTATTTCTGAAGTATTTTTTTTTTTTAAATAAAAGTTTTTAGCATAACAAAACTGTTAAAGCTGTAGGTTTATTTGGGCTGAGGAACAGCCAAAGACAGAGTTTGTAAAGTGTAAAGTGTATTTAATAAAGAACAAAAATGTGAGAACCAAATGAATGACATACTCCTTTACAGCAGTGTTTCTTAACCATGTTTCTGGAGGATCAGCAGTTCTGCACATTTTCCATATCTCCTTAATCAAACACACCTGATTCAGATCACCAGCTCATTAGCAGAGACTGAAAGACCAGTAATAGGTGTGACAAAGGAGACATCCAAACAAGCAGTGCTGGTGGTCCTCCAGGAGCGTGGTTGAGAAGCACTGCTTTGCAAAACAACTCACAGAAATCAACCATTTTAGAAATTGTTGGGATGAAATACTTTTATTTTATTTTTATTATTATTATTATTATTATTATTATTATACTTTTTGTGTGGGTTTAATTTGTCACATCATATGGCACATCATTACTTCATTGTACTCCTTAAAGGAGGTGAACATCTGCTCAAATCAGGACCTGGACAGAAATAATGTTTCAGAAGTTAAGTTAAAAACGTCTGTTTATTTTACTTTTGTTAATATTATTTGTTGCAGGGCTGAAGAGAAACGTGACCATTAACCACAGAGCAGATGAAAACTGATACCAATGTTCTCAAAAGATGAGGTGAGTTCTCAGATTAATAGAAATGCTAGAATCTGGCATTATCAATCTCAAGATATATAATTATAGACACTGTTTTATCAGACTGATTTTTGTAGTTGCAACAAAACATGCTGGCCTCAACACAAAAGTCTTGATTCTCATTATTTTGTCAGAATAATTGATCCGTGCACATAAAACAAAAATCAAATCCACTTTTTGAAATGATTCCCATTCATTTTTATTATATTATAATACCCACACACCCAGTATATATTTAAATGTTGTACTTTATAAACTCTAAATCTGTCAATCTAGAGAGCTGGCTTGCAAAGTTTGCAAATCAAAGGAAAAAAGCTCCCTCATAGCTGTTTGTGTTAGCATTCATGCTATCAGTGCACTATACCTGTATATCAGCAGCGCACAGGCGATGCCCGGCTGTTTTATGCATACTCCGTGGCCCCTCCTCTTCTGTGCCTTGCTGTGGTGTGATTAGCGTTGGCCCTGAGGAGCTAATGAAGTCTGGCGCCTGCGTTTGCATGATTACAGTTGGCCGCAGCACAAAGGGAAGAGCCCACGAGGACAATAGATGTCAGTTTACAGCATGCCAGCCTATGTCTCTGCTGTGTATCAAACATCCCGTATCAGTGTGTTTTATGTGAAACATTTCAGTACATATGGTGTTGTGAAATTAAATCTGTTTTGAATGGCATTCAAGCACATTTATATATAACTAAAGTTTGGGTTTGGGATTTTATAATTGTGTTTTAATAAAAAATAAAAAAACCTACCTTCAACAAATTGAAGCACTCGATCTCTCATATAACCAATCATATCTCTTTTTTTAATAAATAAATAAAGCTAGTCTGTCATTCATGACTACAGGTGATAAAGCGTTTTTGCATTCATTAAATATCCAAGCATCTTCATGCGGGATGCATAACAGCGATGCGCGATGTGGTTGTAAACCGCATCATCCTTTCCTTCTCAGAACAAAGAATATGCGCATGATAATGCCATGCAAATATATGCAGATTTCAAGCAGCATGGGGGAGGAGTTGATAGGGGATGCAGAGAAGAGGCTGTAGTGGAGGTTCACTGCAAATGCACAGTGTTTACATGTATATTTATTTGTTTTAAGCATTTCTCCAGAATGCTAGAATTAAAAGACACACCAAAAAATTGCATATTAATCTAAATCATTTGCATAAACCCTTTCACCTTTTTGTTTATTAAATCTACATATAATCTAATTCACACCCACATAACATGGATTTATCTTAAACAAGGATCAGCCGTAGCACCGGAGAGTTATTCCTGGCTATAAGTTCTGCTCATAGCTGCCTCCTTTATCACCTCCTTTTCTATTTTGGACTCTGTTGTGGTCCTTTTGTTTAACACAATGCTTCAGATGGGATGATATAAAAGCACTGATGCATTTTCAGATTCATATATCAGTGAATTTAAAGGTGCTCGGTTACTAGAGATGATACTGTTAGTCTAATAATAGTAATAGAGATTCTATTAAAGAAATTATAAATAAATATATAAATGATTTTTCCCCTAAAAATCATACTGGATTTTATATATATATATATAAAATAAATCAACTTATAAAAAAAAAATTAAGTGAAAAGAAAAAAATGATGTCAATGCTTCAGCTTGACCAGAATTTGTGACATTTTCTAAGTATCTCAATGGCTTTTGATTATTACCCGAGAGATCTAGCACAGTCCTCTACTTTAACAGTCTGAAAATGGGACCTAATAGTCCCACAGCTGATTACATTTCGTATGAAGCTGCATAAGTAAACATGCGCATGGCTGTAATATCAATTTAGCCGCTCAGTGCCATTAACAAATACATCATTCAAAATCATCTAATTCTATGCTTCTTTTCTCTTCTTTTTTCTGTACATGTATCCAGGGGCTATCGCTTTCACACTTTTGTGTGTGCTTTTGTTTGGAAATGCATCAAGCTAGCCTGGCCATTATTTGCAAGGCATCTGTGGAGCATTAATACGCTTTCTAAACGTGTGCGAGTGGGTGTGGTTGTCCGCATGCATGTGTTTGCCACGTCTTCCATTTCCGAAAAAGATCAGTGATTTGTGTGCACCAGCACATGAAAGGCCGTTAAAATAATGCCCATCCCCAGACAGGAGACACAATACTGCGTTCGTCTGTGGCACACACATGTCTGGGCCTCTCCTCAGACACAATATGGCGAACGGAAAGAGGGAAGAGGAGAGAGAGAGTAAGAGGGGGGTGTGAAAGCACAGACAGACACTCAGAATAATGCATAATGATGTTAACATTCCTGCATGTCTAATAGAGCAGGACCCAGCCAGAGAGATGCACCAAGACAGACGAGCGTGTGTGTGTGTGTGTGTGTGTGTGTGTGTGTGTGTGTGTGTGTGTGTGTCCATGCACTCAGCATCCTGAGATACATTAATTTGGACTCTTTATGCACGAGTGTGTTTGAATCTTTTCTTTGGTTATGACAGTGAGCGCTGGTCCAACGCCTT